GGGGGGGAACAGAACAGTGTTTCAGAGATGTAAAAGAGACAGACACAGAGGTAGAAAAAAGGTGATGTGAGTACTGTGATAGTAGTCGAATATGACATAAATTGAGGTGATGGTAGTTTGAAGTCAGAAGTCAACTGCCGGTTAATAGACCTTTTGCCGTATGAGTATACGTTGCCCAGGGTGTACCACGTGGTGGTAAGTCTATCGCACACCACACTTATGCTTCTATCGAAACATCAATTTCTTGGGTTTAAAGGGCTTGATTCAAAAGGGTAAATATTGGTACATTTGCAACTTTTTCATTCAAATAGACAACTTAGAAGAGTATTATTAGTTAAGAGAGGATTTGAAAATTTACCCCTTTCGGAAAACATAAGTACAATTGAACCCTAAACTATTGAAATAAACGCATTCAAAGTGAGTGGAAAGGCGGATGAGAATTGTAAATCGATATCTGTAGCTGAGTGCATGAGACTTAATGCGGGAGATTAAATTAACGGAAATCAACAATCATAGAAAGCTCTTCAAAAAGCTCTTTGCAATGTTTTTGATTTATACTAGAACAGTCTAGTTTAATATTTCCTAAACCATGAAATTCGTAGAATAAAGGCAAAAAAGTTGAATTTGAACTCTGCCTAGAGCCAACACGGAAACTGCGATAAATGTAAGCACTAAGGTTTATAATTTTCTCACTTATCAACCACTTAAATACACAGAAATTGATTTTTTATGTTTATTTGCATGTTTTAGGCTAGGTCGGTAGTCCTTTTTACAAAACAGCACATACTGTGATATTTCATATGATGCTAACTCTATCAAGCCAGATTGAGCTCAATGAGCACTTTCCAAACTCGTGGGATAAATCAAATATTCATATTGTGATGGCCTACACAGTTCATTTCCACCTCTACCTCTCTTTTTTAACACAAGGATGTGTCACTTAAAATGGAATAATTTTTCGTAAAAAATGCTTGGAAAAACTTCACTTTTGAAAGTAATTTTTTAAAGTTTAACTCCGCCTATTCTGGACCCTTTATTATCACGCGAAATAGGTTAAAAGTGGTAAAATGGAGAAATTTTTTATGTGCTAAATAGACTATTTTGTTTAACAATTATTATCAAAATTTGAGCTTGAGGAAACGCTTGTCAGTATTGATTTATCATCTAATGAAGTAGTGGTAGTTTGACGGCCCAATTGTAGAAGACGTTGGGCAAATATTTCGAAATATTTGACAAGTGAGATTTGTCATTTGGAATTATAAGAAACTGACACGTCGATTTCTCGTTGTTTAGTTCTCCGTTTTTTATCGACTTAAACAAAGAAACCCATCGTTGTTAACTTGAAGCTAGTTCAGAAACGCATAATATGGTAGCAAATCCAAAAATGTTCAACGTGGACATAACTTGGCAAATTTGCATATTAGAAATCAAGTCAGTTCAATCGAGTAAATTTCAGTCCAACTGAAAGTTCACAACTCAATATCGAAATGCTCAGCCCCAACGAAGAAAATCAAACAGTCTTGTTGAATAGACTGTCTAAATGCAAACTGCTCCATCACCCAGAAATAGAAGCTAAGAATCGGTAGAAGTCGATTCTCGCAAAAATCCCAGCTTTGGGTGAGATTTCAAATTTCTCTCAGGTAAATCCACCATTGTAAGCTTTACTCTACTCTACTCTATCTAACCAATTCGTTGGGCCGAAAAATAAGGATACTGTTTTTGGCCAAACTAACTAAATATAAGTGTAATCGTTGCATTCATTTTCAGAACAATACAATTTTGACAAAACGTTGGTCGTCATCCTAATTTTCTTTCTTTCAATATCAGTCGCCATCAACATTATCTACATATTCGTCGCCTCATGTCGAAAGAAAGGTAAGATAAAAGTATTTACCAACGATGCTGAAATGTCCCTAAAGAGCATTCCATTTCAGAAATTAATTCAAGCGTTCACCTCATTGGACTTAAAGAAAACCTACCCCCCACAATTACTTCTAGAAGTCCTGAAGATACTCAAATCAATCTGCAACCTCCATGGAACGATCTCAAAACTCTCTCATTTTCATCGCAAACCATTCAGCATCCAGTTTTTCATCATAACAACAACGGCGAAGCCTGTACTTCCAAACGAGATGTAAATGTGAGTGATAGTGACCAGAGCAATGGTCTCTATATGCTGCATTCAAACACCTTGGGGGTAAGTGACTGATGGATTCCCATTAAAGTAGCATGCTAGAGACAGTGCTAATATCTGTTATTTTGTAAAATGCAGTCACCTACAGACCAGCAATCTTGCAGTTATCTCACTTGTCAAACAACAAAGTCCTCTCCACCGTTTCCTCAAAGATATAGAACCATCATCCTACGATCTGTAGGCCACCAACCAGCCCCAGCAGCATCCCAATTACTACTGCCAACCTCAATTGCGACTACCTTGAGGCATCAAAATGATAGAATTCTCATTTCCAATGGAGATCATAACCATACACAAGCCCCTTCACCCTGTTCCTCAACATGTACAGAAAATAACACATTTGTTTAGGGGCTAATAAATAAGATCCACACATCAGTTCTCTCAACATGTAATACATATAGTACACAAGGGAATGTTAGAGACCAAATGGGTTACTAATAGATAATGACATACTCATTCACCTCCAGGACTTCTTCAAAGGGTGTGAACTGACCTGAAGCGGTGAAAAATACCTCTTAATTCCCATCCATTCGGTCATAGACAAGGAAAACGGACAGTTTTGGAAGTGTAAAAGAGGACCCAATACGGGTCGTTTACACAGGAGAAGCGGAGATCCCACCGGTTCCACTTATCCAAACGGGTTATTTTAATCTAGTAATTAGTAAACCGAAGGAAAATTCTTGATCGCCCATCCGCAGCTTGTAGGTGCGGAGAAGACTACTTGACATTATTATTAAAAGTTACCAATGCTTGAACATTACTCATATATTCAAAATTTTCAAAGATGCACATCTAAGTTAGTAGATAGGATACAGTTTGAAACGGCAGACTACTAAAATGGCATAAGAGAAGTTAAGGATTACTAAGAAAAGACCATATTATGAGGTTAAAGGGAAAGAGTGCCAAAGATCCAATAGTGAAAATCGAAAGTGTAAAAAACATTAATGCGACAACCACCGAAGCAGATAATGTTGCACAGCAATGCCAACTAGTAAGTCAACAAAATCATCCCCTAGAAGTCCTGAAATTAATCAATTCAAATCAATCCCCAACCTCCACTGAAAGGTTTCAATGCCCTTCTACACTGAGCCCAACTTACCTAGACAAGCCCAAACAGCCTCTCCTTGAGTTGTCAATTCGGTAGAGCCCATCTTTTTAACAATAGTATCCACTATACACAATTCCATTCACCAAGTTCTTCGAATTTCATGAGAATAAAAATTGGAGTAATATTTAAATCTTCCATGTGTTCTTTGCATATGTATAAAGAAAGGGTACAAAAAGGTGTGTCAAAGAAGAAAATGGCTACTTATAAATAAGAATAATAGAGAGGGATCAACGATAAAGGAAAGAACGGGGTTCAATATTCTCCTTGTTTTCATCGTCGTATTCCTCGACCTCTGTTAAACAGGGCTTCTTCGTCGAGGTGTGTGAACGGAAAGAGGGCCGATGGCGAAGACTTCGTCGTTCGCCGTTGTGGGGTCTTAAAGAGGGAGCAGTGGAATGCGAACTAGTGACAGTATGGCGACGAGAACGAACGCGAGATGTTTCCACGACTGACACAGGATGAACCGTCTCTTCAGGTGTAGAAACAGAGGTTTCCTCGGTTGAGGTCGGAGCAGAGATATTCGAAGAGGCCTGTTCAACCGATGAATCTGGCTCCTGTGTTTGTGGCTCAAGTTCCCAAGAGGCATCTCTAAAAGAACACGGAATACACTTCGTTAGAGAGCCGTCTTAAAATTCTTAGTTTTACGAAAGAGCATTTAAAGAAAATCGTGCAATCCAACACAGCTTTAAACTGAAATTCATATTCCAACAATGACACCTTAATAATCACAATACCCTAAACAGGTCAATGAAGAGCGTCGGATAGTAACAAAACACGCAAACTTGTCACAAAAACCCACAGGTTCTAAAATCTCAAACTAATATCAATGAGAATCATAACATGAAAAGTCATATAGCAACTTGAGAAGACTGTGGTACCCTAAAAAGAACTGAAAATGTCATTCACTATGTGTTAACAGGCTTGCTACTGTTATAACTAACCAGATATTAATGTGTGCCTGATAACAACAAAGCGAAAACGCTTCATAGCAATGTAGAAAACCAATCCCTTAATTAAAGTTGTGAGAGCAAAGACTGTTGAGGAATCTGTAGAACTACTGTGGGCAACAACTAGAACCTTGGATGGTCATAAAAAATTTACCACCAAGTACTGCTAAACTGACATTTCTAAGGAGTTGCCAGATGCGAAGGCAATTAAATCATTGAGGAAACAGCGATAAAAATGGTCAATGTCTCAATTGATTTCATTTTCGTATAGGACAAAACTTCCGATATGGACTTACTGAGAGCAAAGGTGTAAACCTGGATTTCAGTTTTCAGTAAATGAGTGCAAACAAGAAACGAATTCTAAAAGATCAAAAATCGAATTTCCTGTATTCCTATGCTTAAAGCAAGGCTAATCTAGGTACACACGTTGCAAGTCAACTTTGCGGTATTTATAAATAAATACTGATATTTTGATAAACTCGTTCATTGACTTCACGATAATTATACGTTAATTACGCTTATCGGAACTTCCAGTCGAATCTCAAATAAGTGGAATAATCGATCCTTTTGAAAGTGAAAGGAAAACTGCTAAGATTGAAACAAACATACCTCAAGATCGCGACGTAATGCCTCCTGTCGAGTACTCAATTATGCATCTATTAGTACGTCCACAAACCCTGTTATGTATATGTGTGAGAATGGCGATAAACGGACGATCAAAATCAAACTACAATCTAAGCAATTAAAGTTGGCACAATACTACAAGAAAATTAGACTACAATCGCCTGCTTTCCAAGCTTTTGTGCGAAATTACCAAAAGGTCATAGAAATAACACCTTGTTGGATGTTCGAAAAACAAGACCTACATGTTTTCCATGGTTAAACCTAATAGATGAAACGGGTATAGAGAACATAATGACAAACATTGCAGTATGAGCACGTGTTTGATTGGTCAGACATACCGATCACAGTTTACATAAAAATACTATAAGATGAGCTTAGTTTCATAACAAACCTAGAGTAGATAAGAAATAATTGAATAGGAATTATTCACAAGCAATAATTTTTAGTATTTCAAAGAAATTTGTTGAATGACGTCATTGAGAAATTGAGGAAAATTCAACATCCACATTTTAAAAAGGAAAATCTAAAAGGCTTTGAACATCACCGTAATGACATAACCGTGTTGTTTAATTTCCCACGGCCTACTAGAAATTTTTTATATCAGACAGCCTACGAATCATCAATTTTCTCGGATTACCAGTTACAAATAAGAAAAAAATGACAGTTATAAGGGATAAGTTAACATGATGAAAAAGTCAGAGCAAATTGACACCGTGAATAAGGCCAAAGGAGACATTAGCACAACAATTAAAATATCTAAGTTAAACATTTTGGATAAAAGAAAGAGACAATATGAGATTCATATCACAAAAGAACATCAAATTCGAAGCAAAATGCGTAGACCACCACATAGAGCTTAACAATAATTTATCAATAAAAAAGACGAAATGGAAACGATATTATTATTTTTTAAATTGAATATAAATTCACAATAAATCTTAAAAAAACTATTCCTAACACATTTTAATGAACAAAAACCGGCCGACGCATAAATACTACACATTTGAGCAGCATCTCAACCTAACATATGAACACCTAGACATTCGGTCAAAGAATATTTCGAAGTCAAAGTAATAACAATCAACGATTTTGTCATTTTAGCATACCGATCAGGAACCCAAACGCCGAAACGAACTACAGTGGGAATAAAGGTCTTTGTGTCAAAACAAAGAGGACACTTTAAGTGATGAAGTCCCGCAGAACGGCTATAACCTGCGATACAATCCCGATGCATCCAAGATGGGGGACAGCAGCCACCGTGAATAATGCCATGCGACCAGGAATCAAATGCAGAAATAGTTATCGATCGTTTAAGAAAAGGCATTCGGTAGGTCCCTCGCAAAATAGGACGCAACCACTCAAGACGTTTCAAATTTTCGTCATTGTCTAGAGAAGAGCTAGGCACGCTACGGTTAGAGTCTTTCCATTGGCTATGAGAGAATTATGTTATTTATTGAATAAGCAATATATTTAAGACAAATTAAATCAATCAACCTAAATCTCCTTGGACGAGGCATGTTCGAAGATGGAGGTTCACTAAGATTTAGAGATTCAATGCCTCGATTGCACTCAGAAATAAGGTTGCCTATATTTACATCGTTAGTTTCTGGAGCGATACTAAATAGACAAATACAGCACGTTGGTGCCTCCTTTTCATACGTAATTAACCGTTCGCTTAAAGCCTACATATATGATAAGTTAAAAACCAAGTGAAGTACCAACTTACTTGTTTTGGACGATGTCTATAGCAAAAGGCATCAAAGGCAGTATTGAAACTAGCAAACCCCTTGGACTCAAATAAACATGGCAGATGATAAGTGGACCTGCATTTTATGTTAACACAACCAACACAGGCTCCAGTTTTATCACAAAAATAACAGCGCAACTTTTTGCCCCTACGTATCTCTTCCTTTATACCGTGAATTCCGAAACCGAAGAAATATTTATCATTTGTAATATTATCCTTCTTATCCGGATTAATCTCCTGCGTCAATCCACTAGCAGTATACTATGAAAATAAAGTTGACAGATTTAGAGATTACTACCAAGCAGTTTAAATGTACACGCAGTCCGGCGTGCTCAACAATTTCACCAAGTACTGGATTGTTTGACAGGCTTTTACACAATTCGCAATTACCTTTAAAATTATGTCTACATAAAATTGACAATACCTCTCACACCAGATGACATAGCTCATCGGAGTACATCAAATCAATCGCAGTGCCTATTTCAAAAGTTTTAATATCTGCTTCTGGAAACAGACGTTTAAACAAATTTGTAAGGTCGAATGATTAAATAGATTTTCAAGATGACGTACTGAGCTAAGAAGGAGAAATTAATGAAGGAAATTAACCTTTGAAAATGTTTTATTAACAACGAGTAAATTACACTTTTTAACGTATATTAGAGATTTCATGTAACTAGTTATATATTTATGATATTAAATTTTTAGTGCCCATATAATGATTACATATTTAGTTCAATCCTTACTTTGTTTTACATGTTTTTTAAAAATAAATGCGATATAAATTATTATCTATTCTTGAACTTAGAGTCGTTTCTTGAATGGCGACTGTTTGGACCATACTTTAGTTGTTTGACATGACTGAAAATTTTAAAATGCAACACATTTGCAACATTTGCTACTGCAAAGTTAACAAGATGGCAGATATTAAACATATAAATGTTTTGACATTTTAAAGGACAATCTCTCTATGGTAATTGTAGAGTGTTACTAAATGTAATCTGTTTTGGAACTTTTTGTCGCACTCGCTTTTCTATCTAAAATAGTTTCTTATACTAAGTTTAATTGAAGTCTTAAATACTATTACATGTTTGAAATTAGCCAATTCGAACTACTTCTTGCTTCAGGAATATCTGCTCACCATTACCGCAGAATATTAATTTAATTAAACTTTCTGAAATGTTTAAAAGTTTGTTTCAATGCGCCATAGGATGTACAAGCAAACTTAAGCATTTTACTTTATATTGGATGCTTTTAGGATGCTTAAACGTGACTATTTGCTTGGTGTGTAATGCTATGCGGGCACGTCTTCGTTTTCATTACAAGCATGTAGGGTTGCTATCTTTTGCGCTACATTAGAGTATACTTTAAGTAACGTTTGATTGTTATAAGTTTAAGGCATATTAACCTCTCACTAATATGTAATTATTAATTATTAAATGAGGAATATAACAATTATATCTCTCGAAAGAAGGCAGGTAGTCTAAACTTTAGGTATGCTGTGGGAGGTAAAAATATGTAACACTAAGGACTAGGGAAGTGCTATCTTCGTTTACTCTGAAAATTTTCCTCATCTGCCTTTTGCCATTTCTGAATAATAACCTCGTTAAGATTAATGAAATGATGATGATTTTTTGGCTTTTTGCTTAAGATCAAATTTTAATTTCTGCTATATTTTTCCTTTTATTAGTGAATTATCTATTAAATGAACACATTTTATCGTATGGTTCTTCAGAAAAGCAAAAAGTAGCTTGTAAAGGTTTAAATATTTTGTCATTCTTATAACTAGTTCTTTGGTTCTTAATTCCTTCTAATGAAAAATGAAAGCACCACTACAGACTTGCTTCAGCTTCCCTTCTACTTGTTTGTATTAAGTAGTATCAACAAGGTTATGTAAAGTTCATAAAAAAAAATACTATTTTCGCTACAACATTAAATTACATCATCTAAGTTAACAAGCCCTTAATAATAATTTTTAACTTCAATGCAAGTTAGGCCAAATTTATTGCGTAAACGACTGCAAATAAGCACGTAGTTCTTAGTTTTAGTATGCTGTAGCGTATTGCTTCACTATTAATGCCTTGACCGACTCAGAAATCTCTATGGCAGAATCTCCTATAATTGTCTAGACTCGCAGAACTAGCTAAGCTACAAAGAAGCCATGGAGAAAGAGACGAAATACACAGAACACGTTTATTGAAAATTATCATACCGGCAAATACGATTAGTTATCAAATAAATCTAGCATAATTTGAGTAAACGTTAATGCCAAAACATCTGTGCAGTGCTCTACGCGTACGGCCGCACGTTCCAAATTCTGGCGTGCGTGCATGCAATGATTGTCCCACAATGCTTTGATCAGTCAGTGATTTATCCGGTTCTTAAAATAAATGGAAAGCTGACGCTTTAGTACATTCAGTCTATTGGAGATTCGTTCTGCTATTTAGTATTAAGACTATTTCACTTTAGCTTTGTGTCAAACGTCATTCCGAGATAGGCGAACTCTCGGTTTTTTCTATGTTAGTATCCTTGTACCTTAGAAGCGGGCTCTAGGGTAATATCCTTGTACCTTAGTAGCGGGGTTATGCAGCGTCATTCCGAGATATGTGAACTCATTGGTTTTTTCTATGGTATCCTTGTACCTCAGAAGCGGGTTTGTGCTATGACGGGCCAGAGAAAATGTTTGAAATGCAGTTTTTGCGGTGTTGACTACCATTCCATTGTTGTCGCACAAGTTTGC